GCCTAGCTCATAGCAACCTCAAACTCCTGGCTCAAGCAATCCTCCTGCCTCAGCCTCCCGAGTAGCTGGGACTACAGGCATTCGCCACCATGCCCGGCTAATTTTTTGTATATATATTAGTTGGCAAATTAATTTCTTTCTATTTTATAGTAGAGACGGGGTCTCGCTCTTGCTCAGGCTGGTTTCGAACTCCTGACCTCGAGCAATCCGCCCGCCTCGGCCTCCCAGAGAGCTAGGATTACAGGCATGAGCCACCGCGCCCGGCCTGTCCTTTCACTTTGAAGGATAATGTCCCTATTTTAAGATCAACTGAGTAGCAACCTTAATTCCATCTGTACCTTAACTCTCCTTCACCATTAACCTGACACATCCATAGGTTCTGGGGATTAGAATGTGGACATCTTGCTGTGTGTGGGGGGATCATTATTCTGCCTATCACACATGGTTCTATCAAGCCTGTTGAATCCCTTGGTAGCATGACCTCTTCTCTGCATATTTTTAGCAAAGGCTTTATCTCCACTGCTTTCACCAATCAGTAGTCTGTTTTCTGTACCCAGAATTTTTTTGGAATTTCTCATTCAAAATAACATGGATCATTGTTAGCCCTTCCCATCATTTTCAATGTATTTTGATACATTAAACTTTTAATTTTTATTATTTTTTGAGACAAGGTCTTGCTCTATTGCCTGGGGTAGAGTGCAGTGGCATCATCATATGCAGTGCAACCTCCAACTCCTGGGCTCAAGTGATTCTCCATTCTCAGCCTCCTGAATACCTAATATCTTGGAGCATCATGCCTGACTAAATTTTTAAATTTTTTTTGTAAAAATGGGGTCTCACTATTGCCCAGGCTGGTCTCTGGTCTCAAGCGATCCTCCTGCCTAGGCTTCCCAAAATGCTAGGATTATAGTCATGAGTCACAGTGCCCGGCCCCTTTTTATTCTCTTACTTTCCTTTTAATACTCTTTCAAGAGAGGGCCAGGCACAGTGGCTCACGCCTATAGGCTATAATCCTAGCACTCTGGGAGGCTGAGGCGGGAGGATTGCTCAAGGTCAGGAGTTCAAGACCAGCCTGAGCAAGAGGGAGACCCCGACTCTACATAGAAATTATCTGGACAACTAAAAATATATATATATGAAAAAATTAGCCGGGCATGGTGCCACATGCCTGTAGTCCCAGCTACTCAGGAGGCTGAGGCAGAAGGATTGCTTGAGCCCAGGAGTTTGAGGTTGCTGTGACCCAGGCTAACAGAGCCAGACTGTCTCAAAAAAAATTCTTTCAAGAGGGAGAAAGACAAACATATGTGCTCAGTCTAGCATCCTGAAGAGGATACACATTCTTCCTCCTCCTTCATCTTGCAGGGATAGCAGAAAACTTAAATCTCTGTCAGTGTTGGGGCCTCCTTACCTCTAATAGTTACATCAGCTTCTAGATTTAAGAGGTGCCTGGGGGCATCTCATCTCTAGTTATCATAGAAGTCAAGATTATGACATTCTTCATAGTGCTGAATTCTCACTTGCCTTCTTCTGAACTACCAGCATTTATATTCAGACTTTTTTCTAAGCTTTATTGTACTCTCTGAAATTTTATATATTTTATCTCTAGCACTGATTCATTTATTAAAAGCAATAATTTTATTTTGGTTCAATTCACAGAGCTTTTAAAACCTTAATTGGCCAAGTTTCAAGATTCAATAAATTGAACAAACTTAAAAAAATTATACTTTCACTTTTGTTATCAAGCCACAATGTATTTTCATAAAACTTATTAGAAAATCTATTAGTCTCTTTAAATTACTACTTTGTTTCAAATGGCAATTTGTTTCAATAACCTTGTGCTTCATTTTCAATTTCCTTGACTTGGTTTTCTATGTCCAATTCTTCCTGCTTAATTGACTTAATCTGTCAGCTTCAATAAATAAACCATTTCTTCCTTATAAATTACTGACATCTCTGTTAGAATATCATTTATTAAAGCTAAATATCTTTAAAACTTTTTTAGTCTTCAAATGTAGTCAATTGTAAAATGACTATTCTCATTTTACAATTTCTATTAAGCAGCTTTACAAGCTTTGGTGAGATTAACAAATTACTTTTCAGTTTATCATTACTATCACCTCACCCACTGAGGTCTAAATATCTCCATTACTCATTATAGCAACTCTGAGATCTTCTGGTACATTATTTTACTTTATGTACAGGGATAAATATAATTCAAAGATAACAAATTGGGCATTCCCCTAAAGCACAGTATGCTTTATAAAGAATGTGTGTGACAAGGCAAATGTTTCCCAGATATCTCTACAACAGGATACTTATTAATCAATGGTCATGAATCATTCTAACAAGTTGAACTATTGGGTTAATATTGAAATTTATATTACTAATAGTATTCCTTATTGTACTTACTATTTACCAACCAGTACAGAGTATAGAAAAACTATGCCACAATACTGTAAGGTCCTATGTATTCAATAAGATAAATATTACAAAATTAATGAAAGGACCAGAAGGTGTAACTTTGAGAAAGATGTATTGGAGTGGGGAGAGATTATAGGAAGGAAACTGTTATTACAATAAACCAGTGCTTTCCAAACCTTTAAAAGCATTTAAGTGTGCATAAAGAATGGGAGGCAGTGCCAAGTGCTTTGATCTGTATTCCAGGTCCTGGCAGTACTCAATAAATGCTTCAAGAAAACATATAAAGCATCCAGCACCCAACAGATACTTCATAAATATACATTTCCTTCCTCTTGGTACACTGATTTAAAAAAACCAGTGGCGAAATCTTGAGGTATCAAGACAGGAAGATGGTATAGAACAAGGCCTTCAATTGAGAGAAAGGGAGGGAATCAAGAACATGAGAACTAGTTTGGCATACGGCAGGAGGACAAACCTTTCTTGATATAAAAGGCAGACTTCGGTATTTCAAGACAGACCTAAAGTAGAGGGGAGGAAAGCTTGGAGAGTTTACATTCAATGGGAGAAGAGTGGAAGAGAAGCAGGGGACATTAGACTGACAGGTTTGAAATCTCCAGTAGGAAAGGAAGATTTGATGCAAAATAAAGAGGTTACTGAAGATGCACTACGTAAACTTAAAATGGCTACCACAGCAGTTCTCAGCAACATGGGAGGTGCAAAGAATGTAGCTGGTTAGATTCATCCAGGATTGGGGACTGGCAGAATGACAGTGGCCAAGGAAAGAAGAAAAGTGATCTAAGAACGAGTGCTCTTGGAAGTCTCCCTGAAGTAAACGACTAATAGAGTATAGGTTATGTAGGGAAGGAAGTCAAGTAGGAAGAAGTTGACAGAGTAGAATGAAGAACTGATGATTTTAAGATCTTGCTAAGGTTAGAAAGTGATTTATGGCAATATAACTGGCATTCATTCTCCTGTATTAACAGTTATGACAATAAAGTGAAAAGGGCAGAGTTTTTGATTATTTGATAAAATGATCCTGTTAAAAATCCCCATTTCAATTCCAAGCACTGCCGTCACTGATAAAGGCAGGATAAAAATGACAAAAGAATCAAAATTGATTAGGTAAGGAATAAATTTATGTAAGCAATTTTTATACTTAAAAGTAGATACTTTGTATAGCTAGCATTAGATTTTTAGAATCATGTTTTTTTTAAAAAAATTATGGTTTCATAAAGTTCAAATTTCCTTACTATAGCACAAATATCCATGATTTTAAGAAGTTCTCTCATCACTGTTAAAATGGAAGATTTAAATCATTTTAGAAGTTAGTAAAGGCACCCAAATTTTCAATAGGATTTAGGTTGAATGCTTGGGTGAGAATTTCTCATACAATTATAGGTGATTAGATCCTAATAAAACCAGTCAAGCAAAACATAATGTCTCTTAAGGAAAACACAGAATTTCATTTTAGGATGTCAACAACTGTTAATACTAAAATTAGTTTTTTTTCCCCTACTTCCTGGGCCACAGACGGCTCCAGTGGATTGGGTCTTATAATTACACAAAAGGCAGAGCAGGGTCAGGGTTAAAGCACTAAAAAATTACTTAGTGGTTGATAGTAAGCCTTTGGCTACTTCTCAGTCAGGCACTTTCTCTCAGGTTAGTGCTTCTGTTTTCTTTAAAGATGCCTACTCCCATTCTATTCAAGCATCTGTTGCCTTCAAGGGTGGTAGTGATTTGGGTGGGAAGGAAAAGGGCATTTTCTGCTTTCATATGTGAGGTAAGCAAACAGCCCTTTTAAGATTTTCACTACCAATGATGGGGAAATGTAGTAAGGTTCAAATGCTCCCTTCTATACTACTTATTCCAATATCCTTTTTCCTTCCCAATTGGAAAGACAATGCTGTACTTACATACTAATCAGTTTGGGGCACACAAATGTTATAAGGCGGGAAAAGAATTTAGACTAATATATGAATTAAATTAAGCAGAACTCCTTGGTCAAAAAGCAGAATTTGTGAGGTGGAGAGGAAGGAAAAAAGGAAAGAGGGAAGAAAAAGGACCAGAGTGCTTACTGTTCATCACTATCAGCCTTATTTTGGAGACAGAGTCTGGCTTTGTTGCCCGGGCGTCAGCCTAGCTCACAGCAATCTCAAACTCCTGGGCTCAAGCGATCCTTCTGCCTCAGCCTCCAGAGTAGCTGGGACTACAGGCATGCACCACCATGCCTGGCTAATTTTTTCTATATATATATTTTTAGTTGTTCGGCTAATTTCTTTCTATTTTTAGTAGAGATGGGGGTCTTACTCTTGCTCAGGCTGGTTTTGAACTGACCTCAAGTGATCCTCCCGCCTCAGCCTCCCAGAGTGCTACGATTACAGGTGTGAGCCACCACGCCCAGCCTACTATCAGCCTTTTCATGGGAGACTTTAGTAAGGGGGTTTTCAGGGAGGATACTGAGATATTTTTAGCATCAACATTTAGGAAAAAAGAGGAGCTTTGTGGTCTTTGGGCCACAAAGCTAGCTGAAAGAACATAGCTTGGAATTGGAATAGATGAATAGGGAACTGCTCATACAGTACAGTTAGAAGTATCAGGATAAAAATTCCTGGAAGCTGAAGTCTTTTTTATTGACAGAATCAACAGCACATTTGTAGGGCAGAGATGGTCACAATATCCTGCCATAGCAATTTCTGACATTCAAATTAGACCTATATAAATGTGGCTCCTTTTAATTTTTTCAACTTTGTATTATGATCTGTACGGATGGGTTTCTAAATTGAAACAAATTCACATCTCCCCTATAGTTTTTGGAGAATAACAGCTTGGACCAAATTTTTTTAAAAAGGTGATAGGCTAAAAGACTAAAAGATAACAACAAAAAACATTAACTAAAACAAGCTATCAGGACCAGTCAAGAATAACTTAATATTATTCATTTTGTTCTTTGAACATCTTACTTAAGTGCTTTATTAGGGCTACTAGTTCAGGGTTCCCACCACGTGCATCAATTTGTTTGTAGGCTTTAGATTCGAGCTCTTTAAGAGTTTTCCGAGTGTATTCAAAAGAACCTACATCCTCAAGATAATGCACACAGTATTTTTTAATATCTATGTTTTCTGTTCTCTGGCGCAAGATATTCTGCACCTGGGTGCTTTCAGGCCTCGACCAAATAGCATGAATAGTGGGAAATGAGAACTTTCCTTCTGTTAGATCTTCACAAAAACTTTTGTTTTCACTATATTCTTTGGAGTGTAGGTTAGCATAATCATCCCTAATTTGGAAAAAGAGCCCAAGTGTATTAAGCAGTGGCTTTAAATCATCTTTGTAATCAGAGAACAACTGCATGAGACCTACTGCCAATCCAAACAGTCCGCCTGTCTTTTGTAGCACCATAGCTTTATATTCTTCTTCAGTGGGACAAGTGTAATTATCCCTCCAGTAAATATCTAGGCCTTGTCCCTGATGGAGTTCCAAAAGTTGGCGGGTGAAAAGCTTTACTGCATCTGGGTGATCAAGGGTTAAGACTTTCTCTAAGCCAAGAAAATACACGTAATTGGCAGAATTGATGACAGATGGAATTCCATAGATGCTGTGTGCCACTGGGAAGCCACGTCGGAGTTTTGAGTTGTCTTCGATATCATCAATGAGTAAACTCGCATTATGCAACATTTCTGTCACTTCAATGATAATCTAATAAAAAAAGAATTGAAAATTTCACTTTATTAGAACTATTCAAAATAGCTTTACAGTAACATTATGAAAATCTCAGGTATCTTAATTTTTACAACTAATAATTATTTAGCAACCTCAATATAAAATAATACATTGTATGAACATTAAGTTCAATCAAGAAGTAGGAGTATTTTTATGCAACAGCTATTAATTTCTTGGGGATTAAGAATGAGATTCAGAATTGCCTAAATACCTGTAGCTTGTCTTCTGGAACTTTCAGCCAATGATTAAATGCCTGTGAAAGTTTGGTTCTCACTTGTTTACCTGCAATTTAAGAACAAAATCTGACAATAAAATGAATAGAAACTCCCTTCAAAATTGCTCAAACTTGGTAAATCCAGCCCCATCAATCCATTACCTACTGCAAGGCTTGCGTTCCACTGCTTGACACCCCATCCTCAACACCTCTGAAATCCACAACCTTTTAAAATTAGGGCAGGCCTGAGATTCTAAAGCACTTTAGTGGCACATAGGCCAATCCTTTTATCCTAACTTGAATAGACAGTTTTGGTGTAGGATAGGCTTTTTAGGCATTATGGCCTAATTTATTACCTTTTTTGAAAAATCTAGTTAGTGGCAGTTAATTATCAGTATATATTTTATAGAACTATTGGTATTTTTAATGAAATGTACTTTACTATTGAATTACCTCATAAAATGATCCCTTAAAATTATCTACCATTCCTTTAAATTAAGGTTTTAAAGACTAGGCAGCTCTGCTTCTTTCCTATCAACTATGAGACTACTGTACTCAGAAGTATTCCCTTTTAATATCCTTAGTTTAGTTAAAAGCTAATCTCTTTACTGTGAGCATTTCGCTTTTCTTTTTTGAGACAGGGTCTTGCTCTATTGCCCAGGCTGGAGTGCACTGGTGTCATCATGGCTCACTGCAACCTCAAACTTCCTGGACTGAAGAGATACTCCTGCCTCAGCCTTCCGAGCAGCTTGGCCTACAGGTTTGCACCACCACACCTGGCTTTTTATTTTTTGTAGAGACAGGGTCTTGCTATTGCCCAGGCTAGTCTCGAACTCCTGGCCTCAAGAGATCCTCCTGCTTTGGCTTCCTAAAGTGCTAGGATTACTGTGCCGAGTAAAGAGAGATCTTTGGATAGAAGTTAACCACTAGTAGTAGTTAGTCACCATGGCCCAAATATAAAGCAATGATAGATGAAAATCACAAATAGTTCATTTAATTAGAATGTTCTGAGCTTCCTGATAAATGAATGCATAGTAACATCCCAATTTTAGATTAGGTTTCAGGAAAATGGTTACATAAAAAGTTAAGTTTCAATTAACCAAAACACTATTTCCTAAGTCCTATATAATATGTTTTCTCAGTACCAATCGCCCAGACAAATGACTCTACAAACTCTCCTTACATATCCTAATGGGACAAAGTTTCACTTTTTATGAGAAGTCTAGGAAGAGAAAATATCTCTCTTCTGCTTAATAATCCTTAAGGTGCACATGGTCTGGGTAGCAATTATATACTTCATATTCCTCATCTACTTTCCAGTTTGACAAAGATCAGTCTGGGCTGTACTTACAAAGCACAATTGTGCAAACTAATCTATTACCACTTTAAAAAAAATTACTTTTGAAGATGAAAACCACAGAGTCCCATTACATTTGGAGTCCCATTTTTCATTTCACTTCCAAATATTATATAGAAAACAGTACAATAAATGGCTTAATTTACAGGTACTACAGGCTTTTAAAATTTTTTCCCCTTGATGAGATTCTAGGATCTGACCTGATATTTTTAAGTTCCCAAATCATTTCTAACATTGAGGCTAATCACAGAGATCCCTCAAAATTAAAACAAAGATTGTTCTTTTCTCTTTAAGACCCGAACATTACTCTCTTTTTGCGGTCCCTATTCCTCCACTCCCAACTTCATCCTCCTATCCCTAACTACAAAGGCATGGGAACTCACACTAGGGCAAATAAACAAACAAATTAAAGTCATTCTCTTCACTAATTTCAGAAAATCCTGGTATCATTATTACTATCTTATTAGCAGAAGTAATTTTATAAAAGTACAAATGATCTGGCCCACCTTTAAGTTATTTTAGTAACTCTGAAGCTTTCTGTAAAAAAACAGATGTGTGATACACATTGCAATGCCCTATTTCTTTAAGAAAATCTTCAAGGCCATATTCTATCATGGATCAAGAACGTATTTGATAAAAAAGATAAGGTATCAACTAAGAATTTTAAATATGTTATCTAATGGCTTAAAACACTACTTCCAGGTAATGAGAACTTAAAATAGGCTTTGTCTCTTAAACAAAAAAAAAAAAAAGAAAAAAAATTAGGCTTTGTCTCTTAAACAAACAAAAAAAAAAAGAGAACTTAAAAAAAAATGTTACGGAAGTAGTTCATGGCATAGGCAAGCATTGTGTTAAAATGAAACTACAGGCAGTCCTTGCTTTGCATGTAGTGGAGTGGGAAACACTCAGGAGACACTTGTTAGACTCCTCAGCACTCTGATAACTGGCATGTTTTATGGCAGTCCAGTTCTGGCCAGTTTGCCAATTTGTTACCAAAGAAGTCCAACAATAGGTAGTGGGTAGAATGAAGGAAAACAGTGCCATCTTTCTCACTAGGAGATCCTGAAATAAGTGAAGTTACTAATTGCTGAACAGATGTCACTCAGTAACAGTCTCTTGGCTTTTTCTTAAACAGCGGGCAACTTTCCCTTTGAATTCTCTATTTCTGTCTTCCCTGCATGCTTTTTTTTTTTTTTTTTGAGACAGAGTCTCGCTTTGTTGCACAGGCTAGAGTGAGTGCCGTGGCGTCAGCCTAGCTCACAGCAACCTCAGTCTCCTGGGCTCAAGCAATCCTCCTGCCTCAGCCTCCCGAGTAGCTGGGACTACAGGCATGCGCCACCATGCCCGGCTAATTTTATATATATATATTAGTTGGCCAATTAATTTCTTTCTATTTATAGTAGAGACGGGGTCTCGCTCTTGCTCAGGCTGGTTTCGAACTCTTGACCTCGAGCAATCCGCCCGCCTCAGCCTCCCAGAGTGCTAGGATTACAGGCGTGAGCCACCGCGCCCGGCTCCCTGCATGCTTTTGAAGCACTGATATTAGCAGGTGAGTCTCCATTAGGGTCTGCCAGAATAGAATGACATTACTCATGATGGTTTTCAAGGTGTAGCTCAGGAGCTAGCACTGTTTTGACTTTTGATAACTGTATTTATCCTTCTTGGGCTCATGAATAATAGAAATGGATATATTACCACTGAGGTATACACTGTAGAATAGAAATAAAAACATGTCTGTTATGATTGAGTTGAGAGCATCACTAAGGTACAGTTTAGCCACATTACGGGCTAGATAGGTTTTTATAGTTGTCTAGGATTTACTACCTTTTATATTATTTCTATAAGAAAAACCCTCATTTATTATATTCATGAGTTTTTACTCATTATCATTTTCCAAAGTTTAAAAAAAAAACAAAATAAAATAAAAACATACACGTACATGTGATTAGGCAATTGTCAAGGCAGAAGCCATGTCCAGGTCATATACCCTTAAAAAGGAATAATGTGAGCTATGTTTCCACATACTGTGATTTAAATGCATTAAAATTTGGCTCTCAAAGGAACTAGTAGTGTAAGAAATGCAGCATGTGTGTGAGATACTGGAAAACATGGACATGGAAGGTAAAACTTGAATACAGAAAGTAAATGAAGTTTTTTGTTATATAAATTTGAGTAACTTTCTCTAACATTTAAACTGTGGGAAATTCAAACATGTGATATCCACAAAGAATAAAACTTCCAGCTGTTCGCGGTGGCTCACGCCAGTAATCCTAGCACTTTGGGAGGCCAAGGCTGGCAGATCGTTTGAGCTCAGGAGTTCGAGACCAGCCTGAGCAAGAGCAACACCCTGTTTCTACTAAAAATAGAAAGAAATTAATTGGCCAACTAAAAATAAATAGAAAAAATTAGCTGGGCATGGTGGTACATGCGTTTAGTCCCAGCTACTCGCAAGGCTGAGGCAGGAGGATTGCTTGAGCCCAGGAGTTTGAGGTTGCCGTGAGCTAGGTTGATGCCACAGCACTCTAGCCCACGTAACAGAGTGAGACTCTTTCTAAAAAGAAAAAAAAAAAGAATAAAACTTCCAATGAAATACCAAAATTAAAAAAAATTTTCTTTTAGAGACAGGGTCTCATCTCACTATGTTGCTCAGGCTGGTCTCAAACTCCTGGCCTCAGTGATCCTCCTACCTAAGTTGCTAGGACTGCAGGCAGGAGCCACTGTGACCAGTTCCAAAATGTCTTAAGTATTTTTATTTTTCTAAGGAATGTTACATAGCTGGATATTTTTAAAAGTGTCTTAAAAAATTACCTTTTTTTTTTTTTTAAAAAAGAGATGGGGTCTCGCTATATAGCCCATGCTGGAGCACTGTGGCTATTCACAGCTGTGATCATCACTATAGCCTTAAACTCCTGGGCTCAAGCCATCCTCCTGCCTTAGCCTCCTGAGCAGCTGGTACTGAAGGCATGCACTACTGCACCTGGCAAAAATTACCTTTTGAGTGAAAAATTATGAAGTTCTGTTTATAATTTTTCTCATACGCATCACCTTAAACAGAAAATCTCAAGAGCTAGCATGTCTAACCTTTTTTATTTGCTAACATTTGAATGACCACTACCATATGAAAACTAAGCTATATGTGGACTGTAATCAAACTGTTACCTGGTAACTGAAGTAAGTATTTATAGGGTTCTAGAAGAATTCTTTGGACTGTTTCTTGAGTCTTCTCCATTGTTTTTAAATTTCAAAGCTGATCTGTCAAAAAGAAGAAACAAAAAAAGATCTCATGAATCTAATTATCTTTTGAGTTCAAACTGCAAAAGAATTTGTATCTCAAGGTGTATTTGGAAAGGCAGACTTTCAGTTTGGTTTAAAGAGAAAATTCTACATGCATGAAGCCTTGAAAACATTATGTTAAGTGAAAGAAGCCAGTCACAAAAGACTCCATTATGGGATATTATATTATTATATATAATATTATATTATCCCATTTGTACGAAATGTTTAGACTAGTCCAATCTATAGAGACAGAAAGTAGATCAGTGGTTGCAAGCATGGGGAGGAGAGGAATAGGGATCGACTGCTAATGAGTATGGGGTTTCTTTCTGGTGGATCAAAATGTTATAAAATTAAATTGTGGCGATGGTTGCACAACCCTGTAAATATACTAAGAACCACTGAGTTGGTGGTATTAAATTACATCTCAACTTTTTTGAAAAAAATTCTTTTTTTTTTAATATATTTTTTATTTTTTAGATATCAAGTTTAGCATATAAAAAATTCTTCATTCAAGTGATTACACTGGTCAAAATGTTCACTTGGTTTTTAATTGGTTTTCTTAGTTACGGAACTTATATCAAACCGTTTCTTTTTTAAGAGAGAGCACTGGCTTTGTCATCCAAGCTGAAGTGCAGTGGTAGGGTCACAGCTCACTGCAGCCTCCAACTTAGCTCAATCCTCCTGCCTCAGCCTCCCAGGTAGCTGGGACAAGTGTGCACCACTGAACGCAGCATAAGCCTTTCCTATTTTATCAACCATACAAGGCTTAATTTGTTGACAGCACATAAATGTCAAAACAAATCCACAGAATTAGGAAGATACCTTTTTATTTAAGTGATTACTTAAATTAGTAAACATATTGTTTCTATGAACATTAAGATGGGTATGTTTTATAAATTTAAAATTTAAAGAGATTCCCCCTCCACTTAGTATTTTCTATATAATTAATCCATTTCAGAGATTCTGACTGAAGATATGCATTAACTTGAATGCAATTATTTTATTAAAAATATTTCTCTGCAGTACCTTATTATTCTGAATTTCACATTTATTTTAATATTTCCTAGAGTATCACTTGTGGTCATCCTAGGGTCTTCCTTTACTGTTGAATCTCTACTGTTTCTTTGTAAATTTGTTTCTATTTTACTTGTTCTCATATTAGGATTCTTTTTTTTCTTATTGCTCTGGCATCTTTGGTATATTTTAGGTTTATCATTTTTTTCTTTCTTCCTTTTTTTTTTAGAGATAGGTTCTTGCTCTGTAACCTAGGCTGGTATGCAGTGGCATGATCATTGCTTATTGTAGCCTTTAACTCCTGGCCTCAAGCAATCCTCCCACCTAAGCCTCTTGGGTTGCTGGGATTACAGGCATGAGCCACTGGGCCCAGCTCTTTTGTTCTATTTCTTTTGCTGCTTGGGGCTATGATTTGGCCTCTGGGGTCTTAAGCCCTCTCCTAACCAATTTTCTGGCTTCACAACACAAGGCTAAACATAATACGATATCTAATGGCAGTTCATGATCAGTGCTGTTCAAAGAGTTGCACATTATTCAATTTTTTTTTTTTTTTGAGACAGAGTCTTGCTTTGTTGCCCAGGCTAGAGTGAGTGCCGTGGCCTCAGCCCAGCTCACAGCAACCTCAAACTCCTGGGCTCAAGCAATCCTCCTGCCTCAGCCTCCTGAATAGCTGGGACTACAGGCATGTGCCACCATGCCCAGCTAATTTTTTCTATATATATTAGTTGGCCAATTAATTTCTTTCTATTTATAGTAGAGATGGGGGTTCTTACTCTTGCTCAGGCTGGTTTTGAACTCCTGACCTTGAGCAATCCACCTGCCTCGGCCTCCCAGAGTGCTAGGATTACAGGCAGGCGTGAGCCACAGTGCCCGGCCTAGTTTAACTCTTTATTGAAGGCAGATTACAATTGGATATTAAAGCATGAATCTGGCACAAAGTTCAGGTTACTCTTTAGGATTGCAAAGTCTGTTCTAGATGATTATCTATGTGAACCAATCATAAAAAAAAATCAGCACTCCGCCAAAGGAAATTATTTTAGGAAAATGAATTCAAAAAGAAACATTTCATATAGAAAATTTCTACATCTACTTTGATTAGTAATTAATATTAAATATATTACAAGCCAAAAACAGTTCATAAAATATTTTGAAATAATAAAAGTAACTATTGAGTAACCTATTACCTATGCTGTTTGATCTGATATAGGTTGTCTTACTCTTAGGAATTAAAGAAAGGAAGATACAAAGTAGGGAAAATAATGGCTTAGGTAAAAGATTATTGAGCATCATTAAAGGTAGGATTAAAAAAATCTCACAAACACCACATGCACTCTCTAATAAATTGGAACTGACGGGCATACAAGTGCACAGAGGGAAGTAGAAGTCATTGGAAATCAAGTAGGAGGAAGGGGGAAGAAAAGGAGGGGCAAAAACCCACCTAATGGGTACAAGGAACCCTATTCGGGTTATGGGCACATTTATAGCCCTGACTCAAGTCTTGTAACAAAGACATTTGTATCCCCTTTAATATTCTGAAATAGTAATAATAATAATAATAGTCTCATAAACTTTCTATTTAAATCTTCTTAACTAGGTTGGGAGCAAAAATCATGTTTATATCTTTTTTTAACAGCCTCCAAAGCACATATGACTTAAATTAAAAATCAATGAGACCCATTCTCAGAATTCTTTTTTGTGTCTGGATCACTAACAGGTGTACTCCTGCACAGAAATCAGAGCTAACCTTTGTTTCAATTCTTAGAGCTTTATGGCTGATGCTATTTCTCAACTTAAAAAATTTATTCCGTTGCTCATTCAGAAGAGTTTAAGAATACTCAATTAACAAATAAGTCCATTAATGTTCCTTTCCCAGAGGATGTTTAGATCCAACTATTCTCAGCGGTAAGAATAAAAAGAAACCTCAATTTTTCCAAGTATCAAAAACCAATGTCTTGTGTCGTCTTAAAAGTCTAAGGGATTCTGTACACTGGCATGTGCTCTTTACTGCCTGCTTTTTCGTTTTTCTTCTTTTTTTATTCAAAGGACTCCCAATTTATCAGAGCTGGAAATTTCAGCTATCATGTAGCAGATTATTCTTTCCACCGTATGAACGAACTACTAACGTAGTAGCCTCCTGGTTGGGCTCCTTGCATTTGCCCCTCTAATCAATAGTCCTCTACTCTTCAGTCAGTAATGATAGCGAAATTTAAATCTGGTCTTCTCCCTTCCAACTGAGAACCTTTCGAAGATATCTCATTTCTCTTAGGACAAGAACAAAACTCCTTAATAAAACCTATAAAGTTCAGCAACATCCCCTATCTCAGCTTCAGTTCTTCGAACTGGAGGAGCTCCCTTCTGACACTAGGCTTTCTAACATGTTACTAACTCTTTTCGTCTGGTGGGTCCTTTCCTTAGTTAACTCCTTTAGCGCTCTGTTCGATCCTCACTTGCTTTGGAAAGTCTTCCCTTACCTCCTTAAGTCCAATTTCTTACTTCACACCCTCCTATCACCATGTATTGCAACACTATCACTGTTGCAATTTCACATTTCACTTGGGTGTCTGTTTTAACACCTGTCTGTCTTCCTAGGCTTAGGTCTACGAAGGCAGAGGACATACCAGTTGTTCCACATGGTGGGCGTTCAATACACGTGAAGAAATGGAAAGTACCTTCTAACGCACTAGAGGACGAAACTAGGGCACAAACATACAAAAAGTGAAAACGCAATGCAAGGTGTTTTTGTTTGTTTTTTTAAAGGGAAGGGCCTGGTTTCAGAATTTCTAGAGACATACAAAAGTTAAGCGCAGCTGTGACACACAGAGTGAATCCTTTCACTCAAACTCCGGGAGACGATGGAGTCTGAAGGAAACTAAGAGATACGGGCAGGGCATTTGACAGCAGCTTGGCAGAGGGCTTGAAATGTTTACTGGGCTAGCACAGAACTCGCAGGGTTTAGAACCGTGAGGTTTCTGCTTCCGCTCCACTGGGTCACCTCTTCCTTCTCCCAGTCTTAAGCAAGGGGATGGAAAATTCATACACAATCCGGTTCAGCATCCGGGTTCTCACCCTCCTTTCTTTCTTTCCTCTCGACCCCGCCTTCCAGCCTCCCCCCCGCCCTCCTTCCCATCCGGGTCCCCCCCAGCCGCCACCACCGCCGCTCACGGTTCAACGATGATATCACGACTTTCACACAGCCAGTCCAGGGGTTGCAGTACCAAGCATCAGCTTCTACTTTAGAGTTCACACTAAAGCGCCTCTTGATGCCTACATAAATCCCTCCCCCTACTTCACCACAGAACTCTCCGCCCTTCTCAGCCGCCAGCGACACCGCATAACTCGGTGCAAGAAAATGCGCCATCCCGGTCACACTGCGCAGGCGTCGTTGCCACCTCCCCCTCTGCTTTGGGGCCCCGCCCCTTTCCCATCCCCTCTCCCGTCTCACGCAGGCGCGGGGCATTTCGGGTCTTGCAGTTCTCACTGGAGAGAGTTAGCACATTGGCCCCAGAGACTGGACTGCATTTCCCAGGAAGCTTTGAGGCGTAACTTTCTGTTTCCATAGAACTGGGATAAAATGGCGTCGTTGTTTGTATCCAGGGGGCCAATAGGAACATGGTATGGGCGGGTTCTAAAGAACCCTAACCAATCCGAGGTCGTCTGAGAGGCCATCCGGGAAAGAGGTAGGGGAGGGGAAAAAATCTAGGGGAGGAGAGAAAAGAGGGAAGGGGGGGGAACGTGGGGTGGGGGGGGAAGCGATGTTTGCCCGTCAGTCGAGTCCGGAGTGAGGAGCTCGGGCGCCGGAGCGGAGGGAGACTCCTGAGCTTAAGCTTCCCGCCGCCACGGCCACCGATTGGACCTTTGCCTGGAGGGAGCCGCAGAGGGTCCATCGCCGCCGTCCTCTGGAGGGCAGCGCGATTGGGGGCCCGGACCTCCAGTCCGGGAGGGATTTTTCGTCGTCCCCCCTCCCCCCAACCAGGGAGCCCGAGCGGCCGCCAAACAAAGGTACCAGTCGCCGCCGCGGGAGGAGGAGGAGCCGGAGCCTCAGCCTCAGCAGCCGCTGGACCCACCGCCCTTCTTCCCCATCTCTCCCCCGGGCCTGCTGGTTTTGGGGGGGAGGAGGAGAAGGGACTCTGGACGTGCCAGGGTCAGATCTCGCCTCCGAGAAAGGTAGGGGACATTTTCTGGGGCTTTCGTGGTCTCCTAAGGGGGTCCCTTCGGTAGTCACTGGGCCCGGCCGACGAGCCCGGGAAGATCGCCGTGGTGGTCTCACCGGCGCCTGAATTCAGGGCCTCGGCCTCCCGGGAGCCCCCGTCCCCCCTCCCGCTTTTGCCGTGTCCGAGCCGCCCCCTGGCCGGGCGGCCGCACACTCAGCGGTTTAGGGGCCTCGGCGGGGGCCCTGGCGGGGTAGGGGGCCGTGCCGCCTCGCGGGCCCTCGGCTCTCTGGTCGTGCTTGCGACGGGGGCAGATGTTGATCCCACTCTCACTTGTCGGGTCTCCATTCGAAACGGGACGTGGGCAGAGGCTCTGCGGAGGGTCGGTCCTGCTCGCGGCCCTCGGGCCCGCCTGGCCCCTTGGCGGCCCCCGGCTGGGCTCCGGCTCCGACGCGGGGCTGTGCGGCCCTTGGGGGCGCGGACCGGCTCGGCCCGGCGCGGAGGCCCAGGGAGAGGGCGGCCGGCCCCGCGCCGGACTCCGGGCTTGTTGTTGAGTTTCTTCTCTGACAGAAATGGCGTCATTGTCGGAGACGGGAAACTCCGTCTGGTCCCGACAATGGGGACGGGAAGCCGCCGAGCTGTGTAGGTGGCTGGGTTTGCGGGGATGGCGAAGCCAGAGGGAGCCCCGAATCGGCGTATGATGGTTCGGGGGCTGACGCCCTGTACGACTCTTTCTTCGGGGTTCGGGCTTCGCTCGGTTCCTTCCCTCCGCCTCCGCCAGTGCAGAGGGGTGCCTACGGTGTTGACTGGGTGTCTTTTGTTTCCCCTCCAGGTGCAGGTGAACCTGGTGTTTTCGAGGGTATATTGGTCCCAGAATCATCATGAAGGTAAGATTGGCTACAGAAAACGAACCTCTGGGGTTATTCAGGAAGTAAGGGGTTTGGACGAGGTCGCTGTGTGAGGCCTCCAAGTTGTGCATAGGAAGGTGTGTTTGGTGGCTCAGTGACCGAGCCCTTCCCTTGGAGACGTGGGGGTCAGCTGGTGTGAATATCCACGGGCTTTGCTGTGGAGTTGGAGTCAGTTATAGGCTATCTCATTGAAGATGGTTCTCCTATGTACATCGTCTGTTTTTGCAGGGAATGACAGGAATAAGTGCATGAATTAAAGTGTTGTAAAAAGTAAAATAAAAAGCAGGTCAAGTAATCTGACTCTAGAAACCGAACTGTATAGTGGTTCTATCAGTTACACTGATGAAAGAAAATCTCATTTATTGTGTGAATAGTACTGTGAAATTTTAGCAGAAAACCATTTAATTAGCCGCACAAATAATCTTAGTTGAAAGATTTTAAAAGAATTTTGGTGATCTTTATACAATTCACAGATATCCGCAGTTCCTTATATCTTCCAGGTTGTATGTTTTATTTTTCTTTATTGATCTAGTTGGCCTGCAAATTGTCTGTTGAGTTCCTATCTCACTGCTCATGTAAATGAAAACATAACCAGTGATGTTACAGGAATGATTCCTTTTTGTTAGTTATAAATCCTTGCTGACCTGTGACCTGTGTAAAAGAGTGGGTGAAAAGTGATTTTATTAGGTAAACTATCTACATTGGTGTTGAATGAGAATTTCTTAAGAAAAGTGTTGAGTTGAATAATATATAATAAGTTCAGAAGCTGAATAAATACGGGTTTAGTTTGGAAGAAATGTTGTAATTTGTCACAGTTCCCAATGTACTGCCTGTCACATCTTAAGTACTCTGTAAATGTTTGGTTAAAAGAAATGGTTGTAAGCTGAAGGTCTTTTAGATTTAAATTTTCTTTTTCTCTTCCTTTCATTTCCCTTTTTTAAAAAACAAAACAAAACAAAACTTGTCTGTTTGAAAAAATGAAAGTAAGTTGGTAACTTTAGCCTTAAAAGTCTCAGGGTGAAGACTAGGCAAATGCAAATTCTTTGGTATTATTTTAGAACTGCTAATTGTAAATGCTCATCATTTCCATTCTTACTACCTTTAAAAAAGGGTACTATTAATGTTAAAAGGAAAATGTTATTAAAATACATTTCTAACTTTATATAAGAAGGACTTCCTGTTATTGTAAGTACAGCAAATCTTCTCTTAGCGAATCAATTAGTAATCTCTAAACACTTAGCTTATTTCTTATGACTTGTTTTCTTATATGATAAAAGATGAGAAGCTGTCCATGATTTCTATTTGCTTAAGCAAAAATTGCAAATTAAGAATGTTTTTAGTGTTGATTATACTGGGCATAAATTTTCTTCTTTATGTGTTTCCAATTTCTATTTTACAAGGTAATTGAGCTATAGAAGGACTTAGGCCATCTATTGTATCTTACCAAACATATTTATACTTTGAAGCAAGCTTTTAGATTTGAATTATCTATCCTATTATTAACAAAAAATTCTTAAATTTTATTAAGTGACAGTGTAGTGAGGTAATTGAAAGAGTATTTTGTAATATTTAGTAGTAGTATTTTCTGGTTGTTGCTTTAAAGTTCTGAAGTAAAGAAAAATGCATATGCTATTTTAAATATTATATGTTTTATCAGCAATTTTCCTGTAGTACCACCTTCAAGATTTTAAAAATAAATCCCTCTGACTAGTATACAAATATTTTGTAATATTTTTGCACAGTGTGTTTTTGAGAAATAAGACTTGTAACAGAAAAGCATTTGTGCTTTAATGTGGATCATGATGTTGATGTTATGTTGGGTGTGTGTCAGGTTTATTTTTCATACTTCTGATAAACCTTTCAATGTTAGTGATAGCACCATTATCAGGAAATGATAGGTTATTGAAGTTTGATAATAATTCCAACACTTAATTTTTATTAATGTGAGATTCACTTCCTATTTTTTTAAATAAAACTTTTTTTCTGCTTTTGTTTTGTGCATGTTATTAACATCTCCTATTACATTGCAGTAATTTTTTATTTCAGAGTAGCATGATAGAACTTTATTTCTTACTACTGCAGTACATTTTTGAATGTGTGGGAAGGGCTAGACATATCATATTCTTTAAGAGATGAGTGATTTACATGGTTGTACTTAGAATCTGGGTAGATGGGCTTTTTCAGATGTACCATTCTTTCTTCTACAATAACTGGCTTAGACCACATAAAAATAATTGATTGATTACAAATGCTCTTTCTTAATGCTGTGTGCATGTTCTCTTTCCCTTTCTCTCTCTTACTTTCTCTCTCCTCCTCCTCCCTCACTTCTGTCTCCCTGCCTTTTTCTTTCCTCTGTCCCTTGTTTCCTTTTCCTGTCTTCCTTCTGTCCCACCCCTGTTTCATAAATCATTCATTTAACAATGACCCCTTCCATGTGTTAGGCAGTGTGGAATGAAGGTTAGTAAAGTTTCTGACCTGTCAATGAGCTCACAGTTTGGTAGAAAACATAGAAAAATTGAAACTTACAGCATATTGAATAGTAAGAGTATGTATATTATTTCAACATAAAGTAATAGTCATAAGTGCTATGGGAGGACAGAAAGAGGACATCTAAATCAGAGCCATGGAAAGTGTTCTGATGTAGTTGCTACCTAAGCTGAGTGTTAAAGCTTTTGCTAGGCAAAAAAGGGGAGAAAAGGGTGTTTCAGACAGAGGGAACAACATACTGGAAAATAAAGAACAAAACAAGGTGATGTATCTGGAAACTCTATGTAGTGTGCTGTGGTTGAACTAAAGCATGATACATGTGGGGTAGAATTAGAAGGGCAGTGATGGGAGATGAAGCCAAGTGAGGGGGTTGAAAATTTTCTTGAAAGCTACATGGAACCACTGAATGTTTTTAGTAAGGGCTTTTGTAAATATATGGAGAGATCACTTTGGTAGTATTATAGTGAATACATCAAAAAGGAGATCTGCATGGAAGGTCTGGAGATTCCAGATGAGAAATCCAAGTGAGAAATGAATAAGGACCTGAATTAATGCAGTGGGAGTGGAGCAGAAGAGATAAATCTGAGACATTTATTAAGTAGTATTCAAGACCTAGTAACTCACCCTGAGGTGAGAGGAAGATGGAGGTTTCTATCTTGGGAAATTAGATGGATGTTATTGTCATTTGAAGCATGTTGTGGTTGTAGTAAAGAATGCGTAGGAGGTCCACATCCAGATGGACCTATTAATTAAGAGTTGAAAGCAGGTAGGATGAAGCCAAAGTCTTGGTTAATCCAGTGTGAATGTTAACCTTATCATTCATATTTTAATATTTGAAGGGCTTTAAGATCCATAATATAGCAAATGTATTTTGTGCTATAG